TTTTACATTATCAATGTAACTCGATGACCTGTATATAAGAAATCTATGGACATTCATACTGACAAACACTACACAAAACCCAGAAAAACTCACAGAAATACAAGTGTTTCGTGCCCAGAAAACGGATTTAGTATCTTTCTCTAACACATTTAGGTTTATTACTTGCAATACGATCGACATGACTTGTAATAGTTTGCAATGCAGGTGGAGATTTATAAGTATCATCTGCAGTTTCCTCCTTATGATCTTCGTCGAGTTTCTTGATATTCAATATATAGTCTAAAGCAGTCACTACTTCACTGATTAAAGGTCGCGTACTGGCGTCCTCTTGCAGGCACATTGCTGCAACTGTTAGAGCTTTATCCAATGCCTTCCTCGGGTAGTTCCCTCGTAACAATGGATCTGCTATTGAGTGCAACTTCTTATCGCTGATCAGTGGTCGTGCCTGCCCATCAATTTGTCAAATAAAGATAGGTTCCTAATTGCTAGGCACGGAGTTTAACAAAGAGAAACACTTTTGGCACTAACAGCCTAGAAAGGAAAACGTGTCATATAAAATGAAATGATGGAGTTTAGTGACATTGAATTCTTGAAACTTACCCACTTGATGAGGTTCTTTTCTTCGCTGGGTCTGGAGCTGTCGATGACTCTTCTTCCTGTGATGATTTCTAAAAGGACTACACCGAAGCTATAAACATCGGACTTAACGGTCAATTTACCTGTGCAAGCATAGTCAGGTGCACAATAACCATAGGTTCCCATGACCCTGGTTGACACATGAGACCTGTCACCTGTTGGTCCTAGCTTGGCAAGTCCAAAATCAGAAAGCTTGGGATCAAAATTCTCATCTAAAAGTATGTTGGATGATTTAAAGTCCCGATAAATCACCGGAGGATTAGCCGTTTCATGCAAGTATGCAAGTCCTCTTGCTGCTCCAGCTGCAATTTTCATCCTTGTATACCAATCAAGAGGCTTTTGATCTGGACCAAGTTCTGTCAAACAATGGGAAATTATATTATTGTGAATGACACTCATTGATCAAGTTATTGGATATGCATATTTTTATTTTTATTTTGATGGCAAGGGAAACCCGCAACCGCTACCCTTTGGGTGCGCACAGGGTAAAACCCTACTCGCAAACCACATAGGAGAGGTAACCCGCACTAGGCAAGCCCGGTGCGACGAGCTTGACCCAGAAGGCAAACCCCTTGCTTTCACTGGTAAGGGGTTTCGAACTTGAGTTCTTCAATTAACGAAATTTGGAGATGGTCGGATATGAATGCATACCAAGAAGGTGACCTTCTAAAGAATCATTTGGCATGAGCTCGTAGACTAATATTCTCTGATCACCGTCTGAACAGTATCCTATCAAATTTACAAGGTTAGAGTGACGGAGAAGACTCAACAGTAGAACCTCCACAAGAAACTCTTTAGTTCCTTGGAAACCATTCCTGTCAAGTTGCTTCACAGCAACAGCCTAAGCAACATGAAAAAAACAATAGTTAAATCATTTTCCCTTTGTTTTCTTTTAGAGTTGAAGAAAGCTTATCAATTTTCAAACAAACGAAATGAAGGGAGAGTACCATATTCTTGCTTTTAATGTGACCTTTGTACACTTTCCCGAAACCACCTGAACCAAGCAAACATTCATAGTCGAAGTTTTGAGTTGCAAGACACAACTCACGGAACGTGAAGGCTTGAGCTGAAATGTTCCCTTTTCCAAACTTTTCTATTTCTGTAGCTATGTATCTCCTTCTGCTGCTATCTGAATATTTTCAACAAATAGAAAACAAACAATTGCTCAATGCCTTGATCGAAAGCAATATTAGTGAACGGTGTTCATTAGTCATTTGCAAGGTTTCAACCAAAAAACTAATGAACAACAAATTGTGGGTTAACATAAAAGGGGGACCATCAAATCAATAATATAAGGGAAAAGTATAAAAGTACTCCTCTACTCTACGGAATGTCTAAATTTACCCTTATTATACTTACTAATCATTCATACGCATGTTGTTAGCAAATAGTTACATCTTGAATTTGCTCCCAACAAAGGGTAATTTCATATCATAATCAAAGGAAGAAGAGTAATTTGGACCTTTTTCTTGAAGTATTTTGACACGTAGAATCTACCCACTCCACATTGGAACTGGTTAACGAAGGGCAGGTATGACATATGACGGAGAGTAAAATTACGATATATTAGTATAGAAGAAGGTACATTTTGACATTTTTCTTGAAGTATTTTGACACGTAGAATTTATCTGCCCACTCCACATTGGAACTCGTTAGTGTCAGGGCCAATAGTTTGTTAACAACAACAACATGAATAATGTATAAAGGAAAGTAAAATGATGATACTTCACATAGAAGAAGGTAAATTTGGACATTTTTCTTGAAGTATTTTGACATGTACAATCTACCTACTCCACATTAGAGCTCATTAAACTCGAGGGCCAAATAATTTGTTAACAACAAGAGCATGAATGACGTCTAAACGAGAGTAAAATTACAATATTTCATATAGAAGAAGGTAAACTTGGACACTTTTCTCTTAGTTTGACATGTACAATCTACCCACTCCACATTGTAACTCATTAAAGTCAAACAACAACAACTTATCCAGTATAATCTTATAAAATCAGAGTTCGTTAAAGTCAATGTCCAATAATTTATCAACGCCAAACGCGCAAATGACTTATAATGGAGAGCAAAACTGCCATATTCCAAGGTAAATTCAGACATTTCCCATAATAGAACACAGAAAAAACAGAGGAAGTCATATAACAAATTGCAAAATGTAACACAACAACAATATATCCAGTTACTGTAATCCCACAAGTGAGGTCTCGAGACCATATCTTTTCGAGGCTGTTTCCAATAGAGCAAAATTGCACAATCTTACACTACGAAAGATGAGAGGAAAAGACGCATAAAAATTACCAGTTTTAAGAGAAATGTTGGTAAATTGTGCTGGAGAATTGGCGTTTTTGCATTGATGAATGATGCTATCTTCCAAAGAACTAATTTGATTGTTATCATCCATCGTCATACAACATGGAAACCAAATCAGCCAACCTCTTTTCACTAATCTACCTAATATCATATCTTAGGCACAAATACAATTCCTCAAAATCATCAACAATATATTCGCCTGAAATTTCGACCTAATTTCAAAAAAAAAAGTCGAAACGAATTCAAATAATACCAACACACACTCACGAACACTATCATCAAAATTTTCAATTGGAAAATTAGAACATTTTTTCGAAATTCCCAAAAATTAGCCCTAATTTTCCCGTCGACGGTGAACCGTGCGGCGACGGTCACCGGAGAAACAAAAAACTAAGAGAAAAAAGACTATTTATCTCTTAAGTTCTGTTTCTCAGGTGAAAAAAAAAAGAAACAAGAAATGCATTGCTCTTTTACATATTTTTGTAATGAAATGAAAAAAATATAAATATTTTTCTTTTTAAAATAATAATAAAATAATTATTTGTTTTGATTTTAAAGCCAAGAATTTCGGGGATAAATGGAAATAATACATTTTGCTAACTTTAACTTAATTTGAAATGTCAGTTTACAATGCGAGTGTTGTTGAAAAGTATATAAAAGACCTCATCTCGCCTATATTCAATCAATATATAAAAGAGTGATATATCAAAATACCAAATATCTCACTTTCACTCGAATACAACTTATTTACACGATATAAAAAATGTTTACACTATAAACGTATCTTAACCTATTATAGCGGAAATACATCTTAACCACACACAAGATAAAAACTACATTAGGCAAGCCCTATACAACAAACTTGACTCAAAAGACATTGAGGAGAGATCGATCTCAACTCTCGAGTTATTCATAGGAATGACCATCTGAAGAACAAAAAACTCTTATTAACTGGTCGAATAATGGATTAAATGGAAAAAAAATAAAAATTGGCCAACATCCATCATCAATATTTAAAGCAGCTTTACAACATTGAGGACCAAGTAAATGGGGTTGAATACTTAAAAAAATGTTATTAAATCTTCAATACAATTAGGAACATCATTAAGTGATGTTAAACATTTAGGGATCGTTTGTTAGAGTATATTAGAAGAAATAATACATGTATTAACTTTGCATATTAATAATATTTTATTTAATATACTTTTTTAATCTATGTATAACCAATGCAAGAGATTTAATGCATGCATTAGGATAATTAAAGAACCAATTACCCCTCAAGATTCCTTTTACATCTTTTTCATTATAATTGTAGAGGATATTTTTCTAATTAATATTTTTATTCAATGCATACAACTTTTAATACACCAAACCAAAAGATGCATAAAAAATATCTATGTATAATTAATGCAAGCATAACCAATACAAGCATTATTAATACACTTTATTTGACATTATTTTGATACGCTCTACCAAACGAGTGATTAAATCAGGACCTATTAATCCTCCAAAATTAGGGAATAATCCACCAATAAATTGACCACACAATTAATATGGATGATAAAGAAATTAGCATAGTTGAATATAAGACTTTAGAATGTTTTTAGATGAACTAATAGTGTTTGTTGTAAGAACTTTGGATTGTGACATTTATAGGCAAAATTTATGAGAAAAGAATAACAAGTATCAGTTTATTAATTTGGTTTGTTTAACCTTAACATTTAGTAATATATATATATATATATATATATATATAAGACTTTATTAGGATTAGTATTTATTGCTTCTTTAGGAAGGGGCTACTTTTTTGTTGTAACTTTAGGTAATTAATTACTTTAAATTGGTTGATAAATGAATTTATGTTGGGTCTCTTAATAAATACCTTAACAATTTCACACAAAATCCACCAAATATCATCCAAAAAAAAAAAAAAAACTCAAAACTAGGAAGAGATTTTTTATTTTACTTTTCAAAAAATGATGGCAACAAAATCCCTAAAGCTAGTTGTATTTTTCAGTATATTATGCATGACAAATTCACTAGTCATGGCTAGATTTGATCCAATTAAATTGGCACCAAGTCCTAATGATGATGGAGTTGTTGAATGTTGGTCATCACTTAAAAACATAAATGGTTGTGTAAAAGGAGTTTATAAAGTATTTACTGGTGTTGGATGGCTTGATTCTTCTTGTTGTGAAGTGGTTAATAAGATTGATAATAAATGTTGGCCTAAAATTTTCCCTTTTAATCCAAGTTTTGGTTATATATTGATGTATTATTGTAGCATTGTTACTGCTCCCACCAGCTCCATTATCTGCAATTTGAAGATGGTATGGTGTGTGTTCTTGAAAGAGAGAGTTTATGTTATATGTACTGACGGTGTAAAGAACTTTTATGCTATCAGATTAAGTTAGAATATACTCTTTCAGACTCGAGTCTTAACGTCTACTCATATATTTCTCAACCTTACAAACAAAACATTATATTGTAATCTAACATTTGCAATGATGATACCTAGTGTGTTTGTCTCGGATTTGAACCTGAGATTGCATGGTTCTCAACCCACCTCGTGGACTACTACACCACACACAAGGGGGTAAAACACAGGTTTGTCATTAACAAGCAGCAAAAATAGGGGTTGTTATAAAGAACAAACACTAGCATTAACAAAAAAAATTTGTTTTAGGATCAAAATGAGTGATCTGATACATGTTTCCTCTCAAGACTCTTAGTAAGAATTGGCAAAAGAAGGAAATTTAATTTGCAAAATTCCAATAAATATGAACTTCCTGTTAAAACACTTAGCTCCTACCACTCAACAAATAAGTTCCTTAAAATGAAAGTTTATGCTTGAGAACACGGAAGATACACGTCCTCAAGCATGACAACGAACTTCAGCAACTCAGACATTTTTCAAACTAAGCTGCACAGGTGAAGTGTATCTGCATCTTTGAAAGCTACAACATGAACTCCCGGATATCTACCTTGTAATCAGCAATTTGCTTCATAACTGCGATCAATGTCAGAGAGAAGACCTTAGTACATGAGAGTTGCACAGTAATGAAAACCAACTTTATAGTTGAGTAAATGAATTGAGGCAATTCTACTTAACAAAACAATAATCGATTCTTCTCAATGCATAGCAAACTTGATGTTCAATTTATCCATTACCCACCTCATTGTTTGATATAGTGCTGTGATACCCAACTCTTTTTCTGATAAAAAGTAAATTTCTATTCACTTCTAATACACGTATAACTACCACAAATACACTTCTACCGTTCTCCCATTCTACTGGTGTAACTCTTCTTCTCTCTCCCATTGCTTTGGTTCAATACAGGGGAAAAAACACAAAAAAGGACCTTGCTATCACACCTATTCTCAAATCTATCTACGATAAATGGTATATAGGACACGTATTTGATCACACAACCACTATACATCTACAAAGCCGACTCATCATCTGTATGATAATAGAGTTGACCGACAGTAGTCTGAAGGATTCTATGTTAGTTGTTTACTTGATTTCAGATAGACTAAACAATTCCAGGCATTAAAAACTATAGTGACATTTAAACTTCCGAACTACTTTATTACTTTTCCAAAATACAGCATCATGAAACAAATGTACTTGATAGTATCAACTAAAACAATACCAGATACATTTTTTTTTCCACATAACAGAATTACAATCTGAAATAAATAATATGATTCGAACAAACCACTTTGAAAACGAACATGCTGCAAAATAAGTCTTAAATAAACTACCTGTAATACAAAACTGCTCCCCCATTAAATGGCGGCTACTTCTTTTTGCTGTTTGACCCTGATAGGGTAGCTGAATATATCTTAAACCTTGATGTAGATACTTTATGCTCAGCTTGTTTCTTTCGTTTCCTACTTCGCCTGGATTGTTTGTTTGTGTCTCCGTCAGATTCTTCTTGTTTCCTTTTCCTATCATCGGTCTCAGCTTCAACTTTTTCCTTATTATCAAACTTTGGCTTCTTGTCAGATTTTGGCACATCTTTCAGTTGCAACATTTTCAAACGGGATACCTTCCATTCCTTTTCTCTATATGGCGCTATCTTCTTCAAAGGGACATACTGATTTAACTCCGTATCCTCCATCATTAGCACCTCCGCTGGAGCAAGCCCGAATCTTTTAGCTTTGACAGGCCTATACTTAAATCTTGTCTTCAAATCCCCAATAGTATCCTCATAGTCCAATTTATAATACTCCTCCATTAGTTCTTCTCTAACTGCCTTCATAACTGTATTAGTCCGCTTCCGTTTCTTCTTTCGTTTACCTTCTTCAGCAGCCTCATCGTCATCTTCACTTACGTTATTGTCATCTGTTGTTTGCTCGTGATCACCTTCATTCTCTATAGTTTTCAGAAGTTTTTCCCTAGTTGATAAAAACCCATCACGAGGCTCGTCCACATTATCCCATCCCTTGGGGAGTCCCAGTAACTCATCTTCCTTGTCAAAATCTGGCTTCTCAAGTTCATCCTCATCATTTCCAAATTCAGGATCCATATCATCCCCGTCATAGTAGGCATCACCAAAAGACGCCTTCATCTTTCTATCATACTTGTCTGGATCAAATTCCTCCTCCAAATCATCCATATCCAACAAACAAACCCCGTCATCTCCTATCCCAGCAGTCTCCTTAATCTTCTCAAGCTTCTCCTTCATCTCCTTCTTCTTCAGATTCTTCAATCGTTTCAACTCCTCTTTTCTCTCCTCTTCCGCCTGCACCATTCTCTCTTCCTTTCTCTCTCTCTGCAACTTCCTCACATTTGGCTTCTTCCTCACTGATCCCTCCACCTTCCTTGAATGTCCCCACACTCGATCACCTGCATTTTCCTCGAATCTAAAATTAAACTCCCTCTCATAATCCTCTTGTCTCTCAATCTCCTCCTCATCCTCTGAAAATTCCACCTCCTCCATCTTTTCATCCCCTTTCTTACTACTTTCCTCATCATCCCTCCACATCTCCTTCCTAAAAAAATCCTTTAAAAACACCGTCTCCTCATCGAGCTTATCATCCTCCCCGAAAAACTCATCCAACTTCTTAGTAAACTCCGGGTCACCCTCCTCCTTATCTTTCTCAGTCTCTTTCACCTTAAACAAATCCCCCTCTTCTTCTGCCTCCTCCTTAACAGCATTTAAAAACTCGTTTCTCAAATCATCTTGCTCCTCAGAATACGTCTTCACTTTCTTCTCATCCTCATCCTCATCCTCTTCGTCTCCGAATTCGGGACCCTCCTCAATCAAATGCTTAGAGACTACATCCTTCAAATACATTGGCTTTTGCTTTTTCTTTTTCACTTTCTTCTCCTTTTCCTCCTCCGACTCAGAATTAGTTTCAGATTCAGAATTAAATAACTTAGCATCTTTAGTATTCAAAACAGGGTCACCTTTTTTAATCTTAAGCAAACCATCAAAAAACTTTAAATTACTTGAAGGATCCAAATCCTCATCTTCTTCGTCGTCGGATGCTGTGTCGGAGTCATCAACTATGCCTTTCTTCTTCAGCTCTTCCAGCTTTTGCAAGTCTTCTCTTTTCTTGTTGTGCTCGTACCGGCGGGCGAATTCCTCGTTAATCTCAATCTTGTCCAACTCATCATCGTCACCCTCGAATAGCTTCAATACCATTTTTCTCTTTAAGGCGGCGGCGGCGGCCGGCGAATTCAATTTGATTTGTCTCTGTTTAGGGTTTTGAAAGTGAGAAGCAATAGCTAAGAATCTAAGATTTAGGGTTTATGTTGCTCAGGAAATTGAGGAACAAATGGGGAAATTTAAAAATAAATAAATTAAAATAGCTTTCCATTAAAATATATTTTAAAGGAAAAAAATTTTATGTTTAGGTAATTCAATCCGAAAGTGATTCTTAATAAGTAAATTGTATTTGATTAGTCTTTTATAAAAAATATTTTTAGAGTCAAATTAAGAAAAATGAGAAGTATTAATATTTGGTGCGTCACTAAGAGTGCTAGAGTAATCTCGACATGCGTCAAAGAATTGGATGACATACACAATTCTTACTAGTTCTCCGCACAATTTTTGTGTAGTTGAAGACTATCATGCCTGTTTAATGAAAAACTGGCCGACTGAGCAAACAAAACATCCCAAAATCACATTGCTTGTATGAACAAACAAATTTTGCACAACCAGCTTACGAGATACAGAATAGGAGACTAGCTGGCTTCGAAATCCCTTTCAGATAGGAGGACCCCTTTTATGGGATAGACCGACCCCTACACAGGAGCGATATAGTAGCATATACAGTAAAATTGTATGACGGGAGTATAGGGAGACTGGGAGAATAAAGTAAACACAACTGTTTTCGAAAGATCTTCGACTTAAGGGTAACAAATCCAAGTATAAAAAAAATGGTGTAGAAAATTTAAACTACTAACAAGGAAAGCCTACGAGAAAGGAATAAAGAACTATAAAATAATGCGATAATCAAAGTAATCAATAGACAATAATAGATATCAAAAGTAAGAACGACAACAAGTCTAAACTCTCTAAAAGCAAAACAACTCTTCAGTAGCTACTAATCTCCTACCCTAATACGCGTCCTCCACACCCTCTTATCTAAGGTAATGTCCTCAATAGCCTGAAGTTACATCATGTCTTGTAGATACTAATGAAATAAGACTCCCGGACCATGTTGAAAAATCTGTCTATAATATCGAATAAGGCTTAACTCTTGAGCTCGTCAAGCTGAAGATCTATATCAGCTATGAGATTACCACACATGTCAAGAAGATCGCGGGCTTTATTCCTGTTACTCTCATCTCTGTCATATTCCCAGTCAGCATGATTCTCTGTTGAACCAGGAGGCACAACGTCGCAGGCTACTGTTTGAGAAACCTCCATAGATAAGTTCTCCTCTTCATATTCCACAACGCAGTTGGGAGGAACAACACTGCTACTCCCATTGCTGTCATGTGCATCAGTGGATGTGTAAACACTTTGTCCTGCATTATGATTCTCCGTTAAACCAGGAGGCACAATGTCGCAAGCCACTGTTTGACAAACCTCCATGGATAAATTCTCCTTGTCATATTCCACCACACACTTGGGAGGAACGACAGTGCTACTTTCATTGCTGCCATGTGCATAATCGGTGGATGAATAAACTGTTTCTGCTGCAATATGCTTCTCCATTGAACGAGGAGTCACAATGTCACAAGCCATTGTTTGTGAAACCCCTATAGACAAATTCTTCTTGTCATTTTCCCCACCACCCTTGCTAAGAACCACATTGCCAATCTCATTTTTGTCATCTGCATGGTCAGTGGATGTGCAAACTTTTTCTTCTGCAATATGCTTGACCAGAAAACCAGGAGGCACAATGTCACAAGCCATTGTTTGTGAAACTCCATTAGACAAATTCTTGTCATTTTTCCAACGATACTGGGGAGAAAAACCAGGAGGGACTTCAGGGTAGTTCTCCACTTGTTTCTGTTGAGATTCAGTAGGTAGACCAGGAAGAACATCAGAAACATCCCAATCAGTTTCTACTTTTACCTTCCTTAACTTGGGAGCTAAAACAGGAGAAGCATAAAGGTTAGAAAGCCGTTTTGATTTTCTTTTACTCCTTCGTCCCTGAGACAATCCTTTCAATGCATCAGCTAGAAATAATATTTCTTTTCTCCACCATTTCAAATACCGTGTAGTTACATCCGGTTCAAACAGCCTAGACGGATAATATAACCTCAAATCAGAATCAATAGGTATGCTGTAGTTGTACCAGGCAAGCTCTGGACTTGAAGGCGAGCGAGGAATCCATTTAGGAAAGTCTTGATCATATCCAAACTGCATTGATACACGATTTGGTCGATAAGGCTCTTGACAATCTAAACCAACAAGCTCACACACCCTTAAGCATCGAACGAAAGACTCCATTTCTTGATCCAATCTTTTCCCTTCAATCCACTCTTCTTTGTCCTTGTAAAACTTGGGAATTAACCAACCTTCCACAGCCAAGGTGTATGGCCTCCACCGAAATGTATCTCCAGACAAGTCAATAGTAGTCCTCACATTAATCACATCCACTTGTTTTGCATTGTGCCATCGTCCTATTCTCACCCCATTAACCATATTGCAATTCTGAGGCTGCTCTGGCTGCAAAGTTACCAATCTCTCCCAAGCCCAAACTTGAACAAAGAACAATGGCGCCCAAAGACTAAATTCTAGAATGTTAAATGTATCTCCATCATCTCCATCACTACTTGGCTCATTTGATGAAACCATTATCATAGTCTGTTTCAACATGCCCAAGTCCCTATATATACTAGCAAGCACAACAGGAGCAAGCGCTAATCGCATACCTCTAGCAAGATTCACAGCTATAGGGAAAACATGTGTACCTATTTTATCATACTCATTACCTGGAAACACAAACCTTGATAACCATAGAGACAGAAAAGCTTCATGTTCAATATTCCTACCACTGTACATGAAAAAATTTAACCATCTAGTATGGTTATCAGCCTTCAATCCGATAAGCTCCCTTCGAGCTTCTTCAAGATTCTCTTCAATTTCTACCAACTCAGGGGATTGAAGGGGGGACAAAACAGGGCTACCCAAAACAGGGAACCCTCCCAAAACCATCATGTCCTCAAGACTCACCGTAGCTTCCCCCCATGGAAACACAAATGTGTTGGTCTCACAGGACCATCTTTCAACCAACCCCAAAATCAAATCTTTATCTATATAAACTTTGTAAACCGAACCCATAATAGCTTCATAAATACCTGCAGCTTTCCACACAGAATGATGAACAGACTCCATAGCTTCAACCCATTTCTTCCATTTGTGCTGGTGATTCCTACAGCCATTAAAAGAAACTTTTAATGGCCATTCAGCTTCAGATGAAAAAGGGAGTGAAGGAAGCTTCAAGCTTGGACCTTCAATGGATGAAACAGTTGGTTCCAAGAAATGGGCTTTCCTCATTTGTGGGATTCCACCAAATGGTGAAACCATTAACTCTTCTCTTTCATCAATTTCATCAAAGATTGAATCTTTCATTCTTGAAAATGGAAAATTTCAGTAAGAGAGTGAGTTTTTTTTTCCCTTAAGGAACAAGAAGAGTTTTTGTACGGAAAAATGAAAGAAAAAAAAACTTTCAGAGTGTTTGTTGTGTGAAATGAATTTTAGTAATCATTAATTGATAATTTCCAGGTAAGGGAAAATTAATTTTATTTTGACCAATAGTTTTTTGGTATGTAGAAAAATATTTTCTAGAAAATATTTTTAAATTTTATTATATTTAGTTGGTCAAATATATTTTCCTTCCTGCCAAACACACCTTAAAAGTTGTATACAAAAAAGGAAATGTTACATAATGACCATAGTCACTTTTCCGAATGTAGGTAGTGAGTCATTAACTAAAGTAATATTGTAATTTTAAAAGTCAATAATAAAAGAAAATGATTTTTAAGTGTTATACATTATTAGTGTAATTGATATTTCTTACTCAAGTGTTTGACCAGATTCTCCAAATTTAGTATAATAAATAATTTTTTAATTAGTATTTGACCATAGTTTGAAATTTTAGTGCAATTAATATTTTTTAATTAATGTTTGACCTTGTGAAAAAAATTCATAACTTTAAAGACTCATTTTTTTAATATGTGATATTAAAATCTTGAAATGTAGGTAGTTAGTCATTAACTAAAGTAATATTGTAATTTTAAAAGTCAATAATAAAAGAAAATGAGTTTTAAGTGTTATACATTATTAGTGTAATTGATATTTCTTACTTAAGTGTTTGACTAGATTCTCTAAATTTAGAATAATAAATAAATTTTTAATTAGTATTTGACCATAGTTTGAAATTTTAGTGTAATTAATATTTTTTAATTAATATTTGACCATAGATTGTGAATTTTTTTTCATAACTTTAAAAACTCAATTTTTCAAATTTCAAAATTTAAAATATATGGTCAAACAAAAATTTAATATGTTATATTAAAATCTTGATAATAAAATATATTATTTCCTATAAAACAACAAGTAAACATGATATTTGTGATGAAAATTATGACAAAATAAAATATGACTTTGGTGTAAGGTTCACATTGTACCATCAGGTACATATTGATATTTGGCATGTTCTAAAAACGTGTACATTATTTTATTAATACATATATAACCAATAAGCACATATAAAGCATGTTGGAGATATAAAAAAATATTTAAAAAATAGCATGTTGGGTATATATTCACTCAATAATATTTCATTTAAAAAATATTTAGAATTTAAAAAAATTTATTCCCTCCGTTCCTATTTATATATCACCATTTTAGATTTCACGCTTCTTAAAAAACTACTCCCTCCGTCCACTTTTTATTGTCATGATTTTTTTTTTTAGAGTCGATTGATAAAAAATTTGACTAACATTTTATAATGTATTTTTTCATCATATTGATATGCACAAAATTGTAATTTATAGTACTTTTCGTATAGTTTTTGAATATCGATTTTTTGTTTAAAATATCAAATTAATATAATCTAATTTAACTTTGAAAATTAGTCGAATTAACTCTCGAAAAGCGCAACATGACAATTAAAAGTGGACGGAGAAAAAATGTAAGTTTATCATTGTGCCCTTATTTAATAATCTCTTGAAGTCAAGTTTTAATAAATGAACATAAATTAATTTATTTGATTAATTAAACAGACCTATGAACACGAATTAATCATTTAGTTTTTCTATGTTGGTCAAATTCATACTTTCAAGGCTAATAAATCTCAAGGGTAGGAAGAATAGTGTTATTTATGTATTGATTTTGTGAAATAACAAGTACTCCCTCTGTCCAACAATACTTGTTTACTATTGACTTTGCATACTATTTAAGAGACTATAAATAAAGGGGTAATTTTATTATATCACCATTTGAATATAATAAATACAATGTCTGGAAAAATATAATAGGAAAATAACTATAATTAATGATGAAGATAAATTAGGAATTGGACACGATGTGTATATATATATATATATATATATAAAGACTATAAATAAAGTGATATATCGAACAAAATGACGTTACTTGACAAAAGATATATATCTCTTGGTGCGTTGGTTGAACGTCCAATTTTGTTCGTGACTCAAGGATACGTCTTACTTATATATATGATGATCAAGTTTTTATCCTATATGCTATAAATATCGACACAGTTTACTAAAAATTCAATATATACCACTATAATCCTAGTTATGTAAAAAAAAAAAAACTTAAAAAATTCATGTATGAATTGACAATTGTTTAAAAAATTCGACTTAGTATTCCCTTTGTCTCAATTTTATGCAGCAATATTATTCGTATTCAAGATTCAAATATCTTAATTTTAACCGTATATTTGGTGCTATAGTCAAATTAATTAGTAATTTGAAATGTATATAAAAGACATGAAAACAAATACTATGGAAGAAAAAATCATTTCAATTTCGAAACAAGGAAAATGTCACATGAATTGAGACGGGAAGACACGTGATTTCTCAAAACAAAAAGAAAGAATTTGGCTGTGACAGTGTATTTTGTCCTGTCTTTTTATTGGTTATAAAATTTTGTCCATTCTTCAAAACCCTTACATCAAAGTTGTTAAAAAAGAAAAAAAAAGAAAAAGAAAAAAAGAAGCTAACAACAATGGTGGATTCATCAGAAGAATATGCACTAATGGAAGAAAGAAAAGAGCTCATGGTTTCACCCATTGATGATGATGATGATGAAGAAGTGAAACCCATTTTTAGAGTTGCCCATTTTCTTAAACCAACCTTACCCTCTTCCCAAAACCCCCCATTTCTCCCTTCAAGACCAAAATTTCAAGAATTGATGACAAAATCTTGTCTTTCTTCACTAAATGTCAAGTTTAGAGGTGGGGTTATGTATATGAATGGATGGTCTAAATGGGTTAATGAGTTAAAGCCTTTATACCAACAAACATGGAAAAAAGCTGGAATCTTTGAAGCTATTACAGCTTCAACATTCAAGATTCATCTTCATAGTGATTTGATTCTTGCTCTTGGTGAAAAATGGTGTTTGCAGACTAACACATTCATTTTACCATGGGGTGAATCAACTGTTACTTTGGAGGATTTGTTAGTTTTAGGTGGTTTCTCTGTTTTAGGTCATTCTGTGTTGAAACCTGTTAAGACTAAAGAGTGTGTTGAAATGGAAGAAAGACTTGGGGAGGTTTTTAAAGTTTTTGGAAAAAGTAAAGTGAATCTTTATCATCATGGCTGGATGGAGTATTTTGAAGGGAAAGGTGGTAATGACCATTTAGAGCATGTTGCATTTTTGACCCTTTGGTTGTCTAGGTTTGTGCTTCCCAAAAATAGTTTTCAAAATGTGGACAAAGGTGTTATTCCTATTGCATTTCATCTTTCTCAAGGTATTCCAATAGCACTTGCCCCTGCTGTTCTTGCTACCGTTTATCGGGATTTGAACTTGCTTAAACAGTTCATTGTATCTTCATCGAAGCATACGGAACATAGTAGTAATTCTAGATGTATAGTAGATGAGTCGGAGCTTATCCTCCGTGCTCCTCTTCAATTTGTTCAGCTATGGGCATGGGAGAGATTTATCACTTTGCAGCCTAAGCCTAGTGTTGTTTACTGTGGGGAGCCAAGAGTAGCTAGATGGCATAAGGTGAAAAAACTAGAAAGTGTTGATCCTAAGAGTGAAATGAATTCTGCAGGAGAATGTTTTCTGTGGCGTCCTTACGCTATTGATACTGTGAAGAATTGGGACGTTAAGAGATTTTACAAGGAAAGGGAGGAATATGTGGTGGTTGGACCAAATATGGGAAGAGAAATCTTGATATTTGCTCGACTTATTCGAGCTTCTGAACTAGTTGGGATGGATTGTGTGGAGCTGTATAATCCACATAGAGTATGTATGCAATTTGGATTTGATCAAGATGTGCCCGGTTGTGTGAATCATGCTTGGAGAAATTATGACAGACCAATTAAAGATGCCAACCTCTATATACCTTCCAGGCTCTTCGAGTCAGATGTTAGCACACGATACTTGGAGTGGTGGAAGGACCAAAACGTTGCATTAGGCGATGCTTTTAAGTGTGTAACCAAGGGAAAACGGTCTAAAACTCATGGAAGGATACCAAGACTATCGTGGGGACACAATGAAAAGTTGAATGCCTCTGTATGTTGTGAATTTGTGCAGAAATGCGACGAGGTTAGAACAGAAGGACCTCACGGGCAATCTTCTTCAGCTTTGAATGATGGAACTCAAACTTCCCCCCAGAGGAAGGCCTTAATAGAATCAAAACCGTTAAAATCAGAGGAATTAGATGGAGATGAGGCATATGAAGCTAAAGAAATGGTGACACTAGAGAGAAAGGAAAACAACGACAAATTAGGTGGCTGTAAGTTTAATTTGCCTGATAGTTTAGAACTTCCAAGTGAGGGTCCAAATGCAAATAGGCGCGATGGTAGATATGCAGAATTTTCGAGAAGTGGTATTGCTAAAATGAGTTTGCAGATAAGAAATGATTCAGTGGAAGCACATAAGGTAGGTACAAATGTTATCAATAGGACCGAAGGAAATATGCAGATTGAGAACATTGAAATGATCGATATTCCGAAACTTGAGATGAGGATTAGAAACCTTGAAAACATCATTTCTGGAAAGGTTCCAGTGCCTGGGACAAGGTGAAAACAAGACAAAGCTAAAAATATAGTGTTGATGCTTCTCTAAGAAGTTGTTTAGTTTTCTCTATTGGTTAGTTATCGAAGACATATCGATAGTGTTACTATCTCATTGTTCTTTTGCTAAGAACAATTTTATTGAACTTGTGGAATGAATTAAAATTATCTCAGCTTTACAATTGTATTATGCTTCATATCACTAATTTAGTTCATTCAGATCTTTCTCACTTTTCTGCTCTGCCTTCAAGGCTGTAACAGACTCGACTAAAGCAAATTTGCGTAGTGTAGGGTTCATTAAAATGGGAAGTGCTCTTTAAGAACAAGAGTTTCTCCATTTCCAAAGCATGAAACTGAAACTTCTTGTTAAGGTTTTCATAGAGTTGTAGCAAATAACAAAGGATTGACAACTTCAAGTTATAAATTCATATAGTAATATTATTGTTATATTTATATTAGTAAGCAAAATGAAACATCACAATGTCGTTTTTATTCAAAACCCCAATTCTGACATCCCGTATATTTTTAGTAGAAAAGGTGTACCTACACCACAACAGAAGGGTGCTAATAAGATGTTAGTCATTTACTTGCAATACAATTTGTTGGATTATATTGTATAGAATTTAATTTACTATAATGAAAGTGTGAATAACTTCATTCAAAATTCTAAAATATTATATCATCGAATATAAAGAGTAAGTAGTTTTTTCTATGATTCTTTTTTTTTTACCTAAACTATATATTATTAAAGTGAAAATAAAATCATAAAGTTCACAATTGATCGGGGCTTCAATTTTTTTTTTACCTTAATAGTTTTGAAGATGTAAGTGACGAAAATGAGAATATTGAGATGGATCTGTGGACACACTCGGAGTGATAGGATTGAGAATGAAGATATTCAGGACAAAGCAGAGACAAGATGAACAAGTATTGAGAGTTTTGATTAAATAGAATTACACACAATTGGTTATTCACAACTTGAATTTCATTATTTCAAAGTAAGGACTGCTTCGGTTTTACAGTTCTTACTTATAATTTTTCTTGCACTCGTAATCTAGCAACTCTCTTTGTTGCTATCTCTTATTTCTCACTTGATCAATCCTTTATTATTTGCTACAACTCTATGAAAAGGATTGATTTTTTATGAAATATCTTAGATATTAATTAAGTTGACGATGATTTCTTAACGATCCTACCATCCTTAACAAGAAGTTTTAGCTTCATGCTTTGGAAATGGAGAAACTCTTGTTCTTAAAGAGCACTTCCCATTTTAATGAATCCTACACTACGCAAATTTGCTTTAGTCGAGCCTGTTACCGCCTTGAAGGCAGAGCTGAAAAGTGAGAAAGATCTAAATGAACTAAATTAGTGATACGAAACATAATACAATTGTAAAGCTGAGATAATTGTAATTCATTCCACTAGTTCAATAAAATTGGTCTTAGCAAGAGAACAATGAGATAATAACACTATCGATATGTCTTCGATAACTAATCAATAGAGAAAACTAAACAATTTCTTAGAGAAGCATCAACACTATATTTTTAGCTTTGTCTTGTTTTCACCTTGTCCCGGGCACTGGAACCTTTCCAGAAATGATGTTTTCAAGGTTTCTAATCCTCATCTCAAGTTTCGGAATATCGATCATTTCAATGTTCTCAATCTGCATATTTCCTTCGGTCCTATTGATAACATTTGTACCTACCTTATGTGCTTCCACTGAATCATTTCTTATCTGCAAACTCATTTTAGCAATACCACTTCTCGAAAATTCTGCATATCTACCATCGCGCCTATTTGCATTTGGACCCTCACTTGGAAGTTCTAAACTATCAGGCAAATTAAACTTACAGCCACCTAATTTGTCGTTGTTTTCCTTTCTCTCTAGTGTCACCATTTCTTTAACTTCATATGCCTAATCTCCTTCTAATTCCTCTGATTTTAACGGTTTTGATTCTATTAAGGCCTTCCTCTGGGTGGAAGTTCGAGTTCCATCATTCAAAGCTGAAGAAGATTGCCCGTGAGGTCCTTCTGTTCTAACTTCGTCACATTTCTGCACAAATTCACAACATACAGAGGCATTCAACTTTTCATTGTGTCCCCACGATAGTCTTGGTATCCAGAGGTTGGCTTGAAGGCAACAGTGTTTCCCGTATGGTACTTTTCATCAATTGCTTATTCAAAAGTTACTGTTAGCGTCAATATGTAAATGTGTTCCTTCTATATAATAAGCACACCGCTTAGTTGAAAAGAGTACTCTGTGTGTAGGCATATTTTCTTTGCGCGCAATGAATGCGTTGAGGGTAGAATGAGTCTCGTTTTCTATAACATCATAATTCATGGAGTTTACCTGCTAGATATTAAATTTGCTATTATATATGCATAACATCGCGGAGAGTTGTGCAACACAAAATAATTACTTGGCAAATCACCAATAATTATATTCTACTCGAAACAACTAATTATTGAAACTTCTGCGGACTACCTTGGATTCTAAACCGAAGAAATGTTGAGCATTACATTCACTGCTCTGTTTTCATTTTTGTATTGAGTTTCTAACGAGGAATTTGAATTCTAAATGACTAAAGTTTCAAGATAGCTTCTTCCAAATATGACAAGCAAATTGAATTCAAAAACTTGCTTACAATAGAACTAGAAAACCTTCAGAATATCCGCCTGTTATTTATCGAAATCCAAGTCGTAATCAAGTTTGTTGTTCAGCCATTGATTGTCCAGTCATATGCAAAAAATCAACTCGACAAATCTTGTTGTAGAGAAGAAATTAACATTGTAGTTCTTCCATCTTTTTATTCCTGAAATTAACTAGAGAAATGGAGAAAAAAGAAGAGTTGAAGGAGGTAGGAAGAAAGAAGAGAACTATAACTAATGGGAACAAAAGACCCAAATACGATTGGCCTATCGGGTCAGGTTTTTTAAATGGGTTTCTAGACTAAGTGGGTCATTTATTTTGGGCAAAATACATATATTGGACCCTAAACTTGGCTTCAAATTTTAACTTTGACCTCCAACTTTCATAATGCACAAATAGGCACTTTAACTTGTATAAAATAGAACAAATAGACACACATGTCCTACATGACATCCTACATGTCATTTTTTGTCCTACGTGGTGTCCTACGTGTATTGTGCCATGTAGGACTCGTGTGTTTACTTGTTCTACTTTATACAAGTTAAAGTGCCTATTTGTGCACTATGAAAGTTGGAGGTCAAAGTTAAAATTTGAAGCCAAGTTTAGGGTCCAATATATGTATTATGCCTATAATATATATATATATATATATATGAGATAACATCTCCCAACAATGGTTATAACTATTTGTAAATGTTGAATGTATGCACAATATCACATGTCACCAATTCAATACAAACAATGTGTGATTCCCAGATCGCGCAAATATTTAATAAAAAAATCACAAAAACAAATTTTGCATCACACGTGTAGATATCAATGAAATAGACTCCAAACCATGTTTGCAAATTGTCTTCACGAATAGGAGTATTGAAACAAAATACATCGCTTTAATCCCTGCTAAGTTCAGGGTACAATGTTTGAAAATTTGTCTACAATGTTGAATAGGACATCAACAATTAGTTCACACAAATTACTTAGCTATAATGACTGATAAGTTCAGGTTACAACTATTATCTGCCGTACTTTTTCAAGTGTCTTCCACCACAAAATCCTCTTGTTCACATCATTTGCCTAGCACTGCTCTACCAACCTGCGCGAAATTGGTCCAAGTTTAGCAAAAACATAATCAAGTAACATGATACTTCTACATAATTATAAACAGTTCAATTTTAGACGTGTCTCTAACTTGTTAGATCTAAAACTGTTAGAAGTAATTAAGCAACAAGAGAATGAAGCATAGAACTTTTGATAACTATTCAGCAACATTGCAGACATTCCTTATTGCCAAAACTAGAAATCGATTATTCAAGTAGTGTATACAAAAAAAACTAATAAAAAAAAAAGTATTAGGAATTTGCTTTTGAACTTTAATAAATTTATTTTTACTGCTTTTGTTTTAATAAAACTTAGTCAATTAGTTGTTAACCATTTATTTAGGAATTGGTTCGTGATTTAATGAAAATGTAATCTGCAAACATCAATAGAAGAGTTCTTCTACTGCTATATTTCTCTGCTTTGGAAAACATGAAGAATATGTCTAAAATGGAGTAGGAGCTGTTTATGATCGAAAAAAATAATACATGGCAGCTTGTTGACAAACCTCAAGGCAGAAAGGTAATTGGGGTAAAATAGGTATTTCGAGCTAAGCTAAATGTTGATGGTTCAATCAACAAGCATAAAACAAGGCTTGTAGTTAAGGGTTATTTTGATACTTTTGCTCCAGTTGCTAGGCTCGACACAATCAGATTGCTTCTTAATTAATACTACTTATGCACAACGTGGCTGGAAAGTGCATCAAATGGATGTCAAATCATCACTTCTTAATGGGCTTTTTGCAAAACAATTCTTACTGTCAATTGAATCGGCTGCTGGTAAGACAATAGTGGTTGATAAAGCCACTCAAGAGAAGCTTAGACCTTAGTATAGCTAGAGTTAAAGTCGAACTTGATTTATTAGCAAATTTGACATAGCAAATGAGAATTCAATATGTTTCTCTGCTTTGTGATAAACTTTTTTTCTTAAGAATATTATCAGAGAGTGTAAGATGTAAACTGAAATCATACCATATTGAATGTAGCATCTCCTGTGTGAAGAAACTTAACTCTTGAGCTCGTCAAGCTGAATATCTATAGCCGTTATAAGATTATTACATGAGTTAATAAGATCGCGGGCTGCACTCCTGATACTCTCATCTCTGTCATATTCCGAGTCAGCATGATTCTCTGTTGAACCAGGAGGCACAGCGTCGCAGGCCAGTGTTTGACAAACCCCCATAGATGAATTCTCGTTGTCATTTTCCATGCTTCCCTTGGGGGGAACTACACTGCTACTCCCATTGCCATCACGTGCATAGTCAA